CAACAACGAACTACCATCTTCCTGGTACGCAAAAATTCCCAAAAATTCGAAAACTCTCAATCAATATTAAGAAATCCTTACATCCAACACCTCACCATCCAACAGAAAAAGAAAACAAACCCACAATACAATCACCCACAATCCCGAATCCCCAAGAAACAATCTCTCATCCCAGCGAACAACGAATTACCATCTGCCTGGTACGAAACTCACGGTTCACTAGCGGGATAAAAGTCCTTTGGATGATCACATGAAGGAGCCACGGGAATTCCGGCGAGTTCATTGAAGAGATACGGTTTCTGTGGTCGGGTCAAAGGTACGGGGCGAAAAATCACGATTCGTTTCATACTCGGAGGGAGTGCACGGACAAGAAAGAACGGGACGGGGCGGGGTGGAACGAGACGGAACGCGGGAGAGGGCGTGGATAGAGAGGGATGCGGCTGCTCCAATTTCTACGCGATGTGGGCACCGTTCGAAGAGGAGCAATTCCAGCGCGGTTCGTGCGGTAAACCGCGCGTACGCGATTCGACGTAGCCGCGCGTGCAACTCGGATTTCAAAGCGGCGGCGGCTGCCGGATCGACGTCTTTGAGCAGCGGTGGGGGGATCGCGAGAGGGGTAGGGAGGGTCCTCGATCCTTTAGGAATCCCGGCTTTCAAGAAATCGCGTCGGCCTTGCCGGCTGCTCAAAAGAAATTCGAGGAGGATTCAATTCCTTCGGCCTTTTTATCGTCCCGGCGCGCGGAACGCTCGAACGCTCGGATATCGCGCCAGCTACATCGTTTCTTGCGAAGACACGCGGACAATTAGAACGGTCGCTTACGGTTCCGTGGTTCTTAATTGAATCGTTTCAGGCGACTTCCGTTTCTTTTGGACATCTCGTGATGCTTTGGGAACGTGTCGGATTCGTGTGAGACTTCGTTTGTACTTGACAGGGTAATGTTGGTGTGTACCACCGGTGGTACGTGGTCGATTTGAGATATTAAAGGGAATTAAGGTTTTTAATTGAGTAGTTTGAGACGAGTTCTGTTCGTTTTTGATTTCTTGTAATGCTTTGCAACGTGTCGCATTCGTGGGAGTTCTTGTTTGTAATTGACGGGGTTTTCTTGGCGTGTACCACCGATGGTACATGGTTGATCTATGATATTAAAGGAAATTAAGGTTTGTAGATTGTTAATCGTTTGAGACGGCTTCTGTTTGCATGGATTTGCGTGAGAAGTTTTCTTCTTTGATTCACTGGGTTGGTGTGTATCACCGGTGGTACATGGTCGACTTGAGATATTAAAAGGAATTAAGGTTTTTAATTAAGTAGTTTGAGACGAGTTATGTTGGTTTTGGATATCTTATAATGCTCGTGGTAATGCGTTGGCTTTGTGTGAGAAGTTTCTTTCTTTGATTCACAGGGTTACAGTAGCGTGTACCACCGGTGGTACACGATTTACGATATTAAAGGAAATTAATATTGAGAATGATTTAATTGGTTACATTGTGTATTAGCTTTTGCCTAGAAAAAATTATTGAAGTTGGGCAACAGAGTGTATAGACAATAGAATATTATTGTTGTATAAACTTTGTTTTCTTACTGGTACCATTTATGATCAGATGTATAGAAACATGAGAATGTGTTAATAAACGATGTTAATATGAATGTTTTATGTCTTATTGATCGAATTGCATGTAGTACATCGTGATCTATTATTTTCTACATTTTTTCTAGGAGCCTAATAATGGTAACATTTTAAAATTGTTATCGGAATGAATTGGAATGTTAAAACAGTGTAAATATGTAAGTAAACGTAGTAGCCTAATAATCTGTAAACCGTTTTAATATGATTTTATTAAGATTAATCATGGAGAAGTTATTTATTGTATCTAATTATACGTAGGATTAATCAATAAATGTATGAATATTCTAATGAGATGATACCAAGTGTCCAAGTATTTATACACGTTACCAGACTTCGCTGGTTTTAATATATTACATTATGAATGCGGGTTGTTTGTTTGCCGGATGATCGTAGATTGATTTTCTGTACTCGGCAGGATTGAGATAGGATTTTATTCATCGTCCGATTGATGACAGGATTGTGCTACTGGCCTAGATAGATGAGGTTGTATGCTACTTAGCTAACAAATATTGATTCCGTGTTACTTGTCTGAACGGATTATGACTTTATCGGTGGATTGCACGTTGATGGATGGTGTTTGTCGGTGGAGTCATTGATCTGTACTACTTACAGATTACCAATGGTCACTCATTTTTCACCGGTTCGATATAATTTAACACAAGACAGGTTTCCGAACTTGGATAATGTAAAATGAATCTAATATATTTTTATCGCCGAAATAAAACAATTTGCATAAGAAAAGCATATGAAAATAATATATCAGATTTATAAAAAGTTATTGAAAGTAATAGTGACTATCTAAATTGTATCGTATTCACAAAAACTTATTGAAAGCAATGACGAGTAAATAAAAATTGAAACGACCTTCGAAATAAATTTTAAACTGATTGAAATCATAATAAAATGATACAAAACGATACGTAAATTTACTTCACTGACGAATGAAATCAGAACTCACCCTTTTCTTCACATTTGGGCACACAGTCTCGCACTATCGATCCCTCGCTGATGTATTTCTGAAACAAAAACAAACGCATTGTTCATTACATACCTATAAAACTTTCATGTATGAGTAAATATTTTAACAAACAAACCAAAAACATTGTTAATCACGTATCAGTAAATATTCTAACAAACAAACCAAAAACATTGTTAATTGCATACATATAAAACTTTCATATATAAATAAACATCCTAACAAACAAACCAAAAAAATTAATCACACATCTGTACACCTTTCGCAAATCAGTAAACATTCCGAAAAGAAAAGATTAATTGCATATCTACAAAACCATTCCGTATCATTAAACATTCTCTCTCAATTAGCCCATAGTTTCTCTCGCGTCATTTATCGCAGAGCATTGCGTGCATTCGTCGAGCGGTTTATTGGCTGCAGAAAAACAGTGAAACGAAGGCTAACAGGAAATGAAGTCGCGAGATAGAAGTGCATTGCATTAGACGCAACGGGGAACGGAACAGAAATGGGACGAGAGTATTAAGGTTTAACTGAAAAATCAATTCCCGGCGTTCCTATCGAATTGAAACAGCGAAAGTCTCGAAGCCGGCCGCGGCGCGCCTCCGCGGCAACCGAGGAACAATGGAAGCCGTGAAATTTGAATTTATATTGGACCCGCGGCGGCCCGTGATTCTCTCGCCTTTACGTATACATTAAATGCATATTCATGCCGGCAACATTTGTCGGAAAAACGCGACGCCCGGCCGGAGAAATATTAATCCGCGTACAAACGATAACGAACTTGACTGACATTTACATCTGCACGCGCTCCACGCGATACACCTGCGAATTAAAATACAAAAGAGTTTCCGAATGTAGGGATGCTCTCGTGTATCTGTGTCAGTTACTATTTTTATAACTTTTTCTCTTTTTAGATATTTTTGCTTTTTTTTAATGTGACGATTATGTGCTTTGTAACTTGTCTGTCTTTTTTTAGGTATTTTTGTTTTTTCAATGTGACGATTATGTGCTTTGTAACTCGTCTGCCTTTTTTTAGATACTTTTGTCTTTTTAATGTGACGATTATGTTCTTTGTAACTTGTCTGTCTCTTTTTAGATGTTTTTGTTTTTTTAATAAGACGGTTATGTTTTTTGTAACTTATTTTCTTTTTTTGATATTTTTGTTTTCTTAATATGACGATTATATTCTTTGGAGATTTATTCTCTAGTGAACTGTTTTTATGTTGGATAATTGAAAATTTGTAATACATCAGTGTATTAGAGGATGTGAGGATTTTGAATTTTGAGATAATTTTGTTTGTTGAAGTTTGAGGAGTAAGATTGTAGAAAATGTAATGTATTGTTGTGCTTTGGTTTTTCTTGTAGAAAGATTGATTCATTTTTGTTTGCGAATTTAGTCGCTGACCTGTACTAGTTGTTAGACTAGGACTGACTTTAGTCATTTGTCTACTTCCATGCCGATCCATTCTACTTGTTATGCCGGAGACAAATTGGTGCTATCTGTCTAACTGAATACTGACTTCTACTACTCGTGTCGACGAATATGGAATATTAATACTTGTCTCCTTGGACGTTGGTATGTACTACTTGTCAGGTTTGAATTTATGTAACAGCGGGTTGTGGATTTTAGATACAGAAATTTTTGTTAAATTAATATTTTACTATATTAATATCATACTAAATCAACATACCTCTATATTAATATTATACTGAATTAATATTTCACTATATTATTATTATACTATTATATCTAGTATTATATCTATTATATCTCACTATATTAATATTCCACTAAACTCATATTACATTCAGTGTCTCCATTAAACACCTTCCAATTACCATTCAAAAATCACCTAATCACAATACCATAATTCCCCAAAAACCCGAAGAAACATCCCTCAACTCCAAACACCTTACAACGAACAATTCCACCAGAATACACCTTCAACAACCTAAAATTCCCTATGTCATGTCACAAAACCATAACTCTCCATTCCTCGCGTACCATTAGAAACAAAACTGATCCTTAAATCCACATCCTCACGCCATTCCCGAGATAAATCCGCAGATAAATCCCCAAAAAATCGTTCCCGGATCGAGGGACACCGACGAAATCCCGCCGAAACCAGGGTAGAAAAAGATTCACCCCCGGATTGACCCGAGAAACACGGTCAATATCAATCTCCATGTTGCCAGGGAAAATATTGAGACTCCCGCCGAATCCCCGGGCTGCGCACTTTCGCAGGGACCAGGTTTCCGCTTACTCTACTTCCGATCGAATATCAATGAGCCCGGCCGGCGATCCTCAATCGCGGCGATGAACTTCTTAATCGACGTCCGGCTCCGCTGCGAGCCGGACCCCGAACGGGTTGGACGTCGCTAGATGGCCGGCGGGGAACAATGGAGGGGTGGAAGCTCGAATTTACATCGAAATCGACTCCGTAGCTGCATCGCTTAATTTCGGGCCCTTTTGTGCCCGTGATTCCGCGGCGTTCATTTGTCTTCATTACTCTCTCATTATGACCAAACACTAACCTACATTACTCGACTGTCTAGATACTGATCAATACCATTTCTCCGGCTGAATATTAACCCTGCGCTAGCCTTGCTCAACGATGAATGGCTCGCACCGCTTGTCCACGAAATTCTGAACTGTTTCGCCGGGTAATTGAAGAGGGTGAACGCTGGCTGCTCAGCGAAATGCTGATCTACTTGTCGTGATGCCTGGCTTTGGTAATTTGATTTGGCGGGGGTCGCGGCAAGGGGAATTGGGAGTTTGATGTTGGAGTTGTTTGTAGGACGGGTTTTTTATTGATTGTGTATGGAGCCGGGGGTGTGGGATTTTTTGTGCGATGGGATATTGGAAGTTGGTGTGTGGTGTTCTTGTTTT